CTCGGAGCGGTGGCCACTATGTTACACACAAAGGGAAACTGGGTTAAGAGTGTTTAGGTCAACCAGGCGTAACAGCTGCACATCGAGGCAGCATTCCTGCGTTGGCTTAGAGGGAGCAGCGTGTTCAAAAGGCACCTTTGCAGTCGGGGTTGCTTTGAACACACGTGTGTATTCAAATGGAAATGGATCAAGATGGAAGGGTGACCAGCATTCTTGGAGGAAGGGATTAAACGGACACGCGAAGCAGGGGAAGGAGACAGCTTTTGGACGAGGGGAACAATCGTGTGTAGGTCGGACAGGATTTCACTGGCGATAAAAGTAGAGAATTTCAAAATTGTTTAGCCGGAAATAAAAAGCCTCATTGCAACACGTTCAAGGAGAAGCGAAGAATGCTTGCTAGATCTTGCCCCTGCTTAAAACACTCGATAGTTCTTCCAGGGTGTACATCATATGATAAAACATCGACTTTTGTGCTTACATTGCCGGGAAAGATGAACACCTACAACAAACGTCCTATATTAATATGTCTACAATCTACTAACAAACTTTATATAATAAGGTTCCTATTTAGGAAGCTCTTACATTAGATATTCAGCTGAAGAATATCCATGTACTTCACTATTTTAAGGGTTATGTTAAAATATAAATAGCGAATGTTAACCGGATTCTGGATTTTCTTGAAAATTTTAATGCAATATCGGCTGAAAATGAAACAACTGACTTTGCTCTTTATATTGGAACGTTTATTCCACTATAGTTTATTACTTTTGGACTCTGCTCTAACACAACTAACAATGTAATGTACAACTGGTACCTTGTCACATGCTTCAGATTTAACACGATTGTTTTCAGCGTCCACCAAGTCTTCAATGGGGTAAAAAAACTATGCTCAGACAATTTTATGACTGTGCTTTGTGAGGAAAACTTCAGAACTTGGCAAAAAAATAATTTTTCAATCCGAATTCGTTCCTTGTTTCTGGAAAACAATTCAATTCCTTGCAATTGTTTCCATCTCATCAGATTTTCCGGCTCCAGAAGGGGTTTATTTAAAAAAATTGTTTGTATTGGCGTTCTTTTATAGGGCAACGCACAAAAACTACAGGTTTTGTTCTGTTATATTGAGTAGCATAGGAAATTTATTGGATATCCGGTAGCACTCGAGTTTGCCTACATCCTGCCCGTTTCCTCGCATTTCAATCACGATTTTGCATGAGTTAGGTCACCTAGGAATCATACCTAGTAAATACGAGAGCATGAAGAGTTTAAGCTGCATAACTGTATGGAAAAGCCTTATAAGGATGTGGGGAGTATGAAGGCTTACGATATAGAAAAATAATCAAATAAAAATACCGTTTTTACTTCGCGAAGTTTCACCTTTTGCAGGGGGTTCTGGAACGCAACCCCCGCGATCCAGCAGAGATCACTGTACATTTCGTCGACCGTACAAGTTCAACGTGGATTACACCATAGTCGACACGGAAGCGGACATCATCCGAACAGTAGAACAAGAGACCGCACATTTCTTTAAATTTGCGAACCATAAATATATCATGCAGGTTTATGCGTTATTTCAATCAGAATATTACTTGGGTGGCATTTCGGTATGGCTAAACATACGACGTAAGCCTTAGGTCCCTTTGCCTCAACTCTGATTCATGTTGAGTTTGAATTGAGAATTTTTCAGCTCATTCCTGCTATAGTCTACTGAATTAAAAGAACAGGTAACAATCTAGTTTCGGGCACAATATGCCTATTTTGCATAACTGCTTACCTTTGTCGTAGTAGTAAGCATGCTTTGTTTTACTACTTTGGCACTGGGTCTTTCTTACCACAACGATACGACACAGTCCATTCACCTATTCCACAGTTGTTACATCAAGATGGCTTTCTACTGCACGATTCTGTGGATATATGGCTGCTACATGAAACATGAATATTATCCATGCGTCCATACCACACTTTGTACTGCAACTGGTCTATGTGCCCCCACAGACTGGTCCTCTTTCATGCAGCTACCACTCCAGCCTACTCCAGTGGGCTTCTGTAAGATCCGTCTGCTTTGCTATTGTTGGATCCTGAAAGCGCTTGAATTGGTTGATGGTTCAGTGCGTATAGCCTTCGAGTGGCAGTCCTTTGTATGCTTTCCATTCGTCGTTAATCACCGCACTACCTTTGTTGATCCATCTCGTTATGATGGGCTTTATGGTAAACTAACTCCTGCTGTTCACGTGTTTTGTGATCCCTTTCCGGGTTTTCGTATCATGCATTCCGAGAAGCCAAAACTGCCTTTTTTTCCTTCTTTCTACTGTACTTCCTGTGAATGATCAGCATTTCGTCCACTTGGACCTCAACTCCAGGCCCATCCAACTTGGTTTTCGCGTTCATTAGCCCTATAAAACACACATTGCAGCAGAAATGGTACCACGTACCAACTGTTGCGTGTGCAACTCCATTGTCTTCCTCACAAATTTTCACTCTTAATCCTCGTTCAAATGCAAGCATTATTTTCAGCACCGCTCTGATAGTTGAGCGGCTATTTTTAAAAATCGAACCGGTTCTTAGAGCTCTTCTCTATTCGCATTTGCCGCATTTGAGCATAAATTCATCCGTTTGTTTTCTTAACACTTCTTGAGGCCTCCTCCATCCACAGCGGCTTTTCATATCTGTTGCCAGGATTCCGAGGGTCTGACCTTTTTGCATGATATCGTTGCAAATAATGTATTTGCATATTTCCTCATATTTCGTCAAACCATATTTATTTCCAATTAACTTTGAACAGAAGCCTATTCACTTTTATTTGCTTTACAACTTAACGCGTATGCCTGTTGCCCAGTCCAGTCACTCCCAGCCCCGGAATTTTGATGGGGTTACGCCGGGTTATGGCAGGATTATCTGGTTGCTTGCTTATTTATTTTTCAATTGCGGCGCCTTTGTTCGCAGTTATATATTAGCCTTTTATAAAAAAATGTCTACGTTTGATTGCTTTATTTTTTCAACATCACGTAACGCGCTCTGTTATATCCCACGCATATAAGCCCTACCACCGTCGGCCCCGCAATACAGAATGCTGGAGCGTTCGCTTAATGTAGTGAGC